AGCGGTCTCCAATTTGATCTGAGGTGGGAGATTATATTAATTATGGGTTTGAGTTCTCCACTGGCATTGTTACAGGATATTGTTAGCCAACGCTTAAAAAATTATCTAGGTGGAACTAAGAGCCTCTCTCAATCCCCTTTCTGAGTTAGTTCGAACTATTTCACTTATAAAAGTTGCCATGGTCATGGTGTCTATTCACAGCAATGAAAACCCTAACTAGACAAACTCCCAAGAATTCAGACCCCTGTGGTAGTCTGTATGCGGGGTTTTGGTCAAAATCTACACTGTCTCTGAGAACCAAGATATCTCCAGTGGATAAGTAATGCAGCTACAAACAGAAAGAGCCCAAGGTTTTGCAGTTCCCAAAGGCAAGCACAAAGCCTCCCTCAAGGCTCTCCACCTTATCACAAGCACGCACACTCAGGAACAGCAGCAGTTCTGAAGCAGCAGCAAGAGCAGGGCCAGAAATGGAGGCATGAGGGTTGAAGAGACGGCTCAGCGGTTCAGGGTAGGGGCTGCTCTGCCGGCTGAACTAGGTTCAGTTCCCAACCTGGTGGCTCACAACCATCCATTACTCCAGTTCCAAGAGATCCAATGCCCTCTGCTGGCCTCCGTGGGCACTGCATGTGGCCAAACACCCACAGAATAAAAATGCATAAAACCTCAAAAATAATAGATTTAAAAAGAGGATAGGAGGGATGGAGTCCCAGCTAGGTGTGCTGGAGCACGATTGCAATCCCAGCACTCGAGCAGCAGCAGGAGGATCACCTTAAGCTTGAGGCTAATCTGATTTATGTAGAAAGTTCCAAGCCAGTCAGGACTGCCCAGTGAGACTCTGTCCCAAAAAGCAAAAGGGGGGAGGGGGGTAGGAAGAGAGAGAAGGTGAAATGAAGAAGAGGAGGAGGAGGAGGAAGAAACAGTTTGAAGAAGACACTGAAACATAAAAGAACTGTGCTCAGTAAAACAAATATAAAGAGGGAATATTTAAAAAGGGCCTAGAGTAACTTATAGAAACAAACAAGCAAACAAAAGTGATATTGAAAAATATATTAAGAGGACAAGCTGAAGACTAGGCCTGACTGAGGAAGAATTTAGCCACTTAAAGAAGAGCAAAGGAGGTTTTCAGAACAGTCCAGAAAGACTGTTATGAAAAAGCAAAACAGAGACCTGGCTATTTCTCCAAAGAATGAGAGAGATTTTAATGTGGCACTCATAGTCACGACTTATGCATATGCAGAGCTGTTCAAACTTAAAAAGCTTCAGGCCCGAGAAGTCAGGGACGGCAGGATAGTCAGCATCCACCAGCCGACCCAAGTGCTTCCCCACTTCCTAGACTTGCTTGAAGCTTGGTCAGAGTCCGGTGACATTTCCAGGCAGAGCTACCTCTAGGCCAGGACAGTTCAAAGCAGCACAATGCCTTGAAATTACAGTGCATTTTTCTTCACATTTAAAATGTTTATTTATTTACTCAGTGTGTGTGTGTGTGTGTGTGTGTGTGTGAGAGAGAGAGAGAGAGAGAGAGAGAGAGAGAGAGAGAGAGAGAGAGAGAGGAGAGAGAGGAGAGAGAGAGAGTACTTGTATAGAGGTCACAGGACAGTTAGGAGGAATTGTGGTCGCCTTCCACCATTTGCGTCCTGGGGACCGAACTCAGGTTGTCAGGCAGGTAGGCGCCTTTACCTGCATAGCCAACCATGCAATCCAGAGAGGAATTTTCCACACTCAGAACTCGGCCAGCTCACGTCTTTTGGGGAAACTGTTTTGGGTCAAAGGGCACAATCTTGCCTTCATTATGTTCCCTTCTCAGGGTCAGCCCATCCCCATCTACCAAGAATTCAAAGTCCTGACCTACTTTCTTTATCCGGGACAGTTCTGAATGATGAAGCTCATGGCGGAGCCCTTGTGTGATGGGCATGTGATGGGGAGACCCTCTGATGCCACGGCTCCTCCCCAATCCTGCCGTCCTCACCCTAGCTAACATCCTGCATGCCAATTTCTGTCTCAGATTTGTTTCTGGGGAACCCAGCTGAAGACGCAGTCCTCTCTCTTCCCCTCTGTGGTGACCTTGGAAGCCACCTGTTCCAGATGGCGCCGCTAGGAGATGGCAGATCTTCCATCTGCTTGCCTTTGCCACCTCCCAACGACTATGTAATGTGAAGTGCAAGAAATCTTTGACACCTCAAGTCACCGAGGTGTCTGGAGGAACTTGTTTGCGACAGGGTCTCTCGTGTAGCCCAGCTGACCTCAAATTCACTATGCAGCCAGAGAGACGGCCATGAAGTTCTGATCCTCCTGCCTCCACCTCGTGAATGCTAAGATGATAGCCCGTGGTACTGGGGCTTGAACCTGGGACTTGGTGGCGTGCTCGATAAGTAATCTATCAGTTGAGCTGCATTCCCGGCCAATCCTGGGTGACTTTTAGCTTGTTTGCCTACCCTTATGCCTAGTACAGCTGTCCAGAATAAAGCAGTTGAAGGGATCTCTAAGCCAGCAGATAGGTAGACTGGTCTATCAGCAGAGAGGGAAACAGAATGAGAAGACAACGAAGAAACTCAGAATGTGACCCTTTCCCCCAGACAACCGGGGTGGGAGGTAGAAGCAGAGAAGACGGAGCCGCACGAGACTGTTGAAACACGCAAATCCATCTCTAGCTATCCCTCTGAACATTAACAGAGCCAGCGGCGCAGGAAAAGACATGTGCCGCCAAGCTAAAGCTCCACCGCGAGCTGTTTACACAAAGCGCAGCTAAAATGTAACGACAGGAAGGGTTGAAAGGCAAAGGAAGAAAAGAGATGACTCAAGCGAACGGTAATAAAAGCGGAGAAGCTGGATTACAGCCCCAGCTGGGCCCTGAGACACAGAGCGCCGTGAAGAAGGCACAGCAAAGTCATCCTTACCCTCATGCACGGGGAGCTACAGGAGGCTCAGAACTAGCTAGGAGGAGTTTAAATTTCATTGCACTTATTTGTTTAGTGTGTGTCTGTGTTCATGTATGCGTGTATGTGTACATATGTGTGCTGGTGTGTGTGGAAGCCAGAGGACAATCTCCAGGGTGGTTCTTCCTCGGCTGCCATCCATATTGGTTTTTTTAAGAGTCACTCACTGGCCTGGGACTTGCAGACTAAGCTAAGTGGGCTGACCGTGAGCCCCAGGGATCCGTGCCTGTCTCTGCCTCCCCAGCGCTGGGGTTACAAGCGCTCACCAGCTTTTTCACATGGGTTCTGGTTTTAAACTCAAGTCCTCAGGCTTTCGTAACAAGCACCTTACCACCCGCTATTCTCCCAGTCCCTGAAACTCATCTTAACTGTCTCTCTCCTGATCCCTTCCTCCCCTAGACAAGCGACACATCTGTCTCTCCTCCGAGCTGCTTTACAAAGTACTCGTGAGGGTTTTGAGAGCCTCCTGAGCTCCGGAGGAGCCCAATAAGGACAGAGCTTGACCTGCAAGTCTTCTCCGAGTCCTGTAGAGAAACATCCTGCACACAGGAAGAAGTGAATAAAAATGTCACGAATGAATAAATCCAAGACTTGCCCTGTGTTCCCACTGGCCACAGTCACTGATGTGTGAGCAGGAAAGGGAACGGGCAGCCCTGTGAGGCCAGAGGCAGGGCCCTGCTGAAGCACGACCTCTAGAGCGGCCAGCTTTCCTCATCTTGTCCCACAGCTCCTCTGCTCTGCGTATGACTCTGCCCAGCGCCATCTCCCTGCACCAGCTAGCTCTACACCTACAGACAGGAGCCTGTAAGGAGTCTGCTCAGTGTCCTGCTGGTGATGTTGAGCTTGGTTAGGTATTACAAGACATCAGTGTAGGTAGTCAGCTGAGCCCAAAGAGCTCTCATTTCCATGTGAAATGTCCTACAACAAACATTGATTCTTATCCAGTCCTGCAGGAAGGAAACTGGACCAGAGACGGGCACAGTCTTGTGCTTTCTCTACAAGGCAAGATGGAGGCACACCAGTTTGACATAGCATATAACCAAAATCTTAGGGCTTATGGAAGCAGGGTGTTTGGGCGTGCCATGTGTGCTGGGATGGCTCTCTAGTCCCAGAGATCCACAAAAAAGAGACAAGAAAAGCTACTAAGCAAGTCCTTCTGTGTTGCAGGATACTAGATCGCACAGCGTGAAGATGTGACACTCTTTTACCTCACCTGCCTATGACACCTTCTGATTGGTGAAATAGAGATCTGAATGGCCAATAGCTTGGTAGGAGAGGACAGGCAGGACTTCTGGGCAGAGACAGGAACTCTGGGAAGAATCTGAGAGGTGGGGGATTCACGAGCCAGACACAGAAGTCAGACTACTGTACTGAGGGAATGTAACAAGCCACGTGGCAGATTGTAGATTAATATAAATGGGTTAATTTAAGTTTTAGGAGCTAGTTAAGCTACTAAGCTAAGGCCAAGCTTTCATAACTAGTAAGAACTCTCGGTGTCATTCTTTGGGAGCTGGCAGTCCAAAGAAAGACCTGCAACACTTCCCCATTGCCCCACCCCATACCTGGCCTAGCCTTCCTGTGAGAGTGGAGGCTGGAGCTAGGAACGCTGGTGGAGTCTATAATCCCTACCCAGGGGAGGCCAAGGTAAAGGGATTGTGAGTTTGAGGCTAGATTGTCTCAAATAAAACAGAGGTGTGGGAAGTAAGGGAGAGAGAGAACACTGTGCAGGGCCATGCTGAGGTGACTGTTCCCTAGCCTGCTCTGAAGCGCCACCGTAGGCCCTAACCAGCCTTCTCCCCACCAGCAGATGCTCCTACTTCCTCTGACTAGCCCAAATCTAAGGTCTCTCTAAGGACTTTGCTTCTGGATGAAACACAGATGTTGCATTGAAGGACTACCCTTAGCCAGCCTGGTGCATGGGTGTGGCGAGGGGTCCTGATTTCTGCAGGAGATTCAGAGGGCAGCCTAAAAAAGAAGGGGCCTGCAAAAAGCATCCTGAACTCCCCTATTGCAGAAGCTGGTCGCCTGCAGACCCTGGAACCCAGCAGTGGAACGAAAAGCACATACCTGAGGCACCTGATCTACACGGAACAGCCTAGGGAGCTTCCAACTCAGCATCTTGACACCAGGCCGGGCAAAGCAGTTGGGGTCTCTCTGGCCTCCCAGCAGGTCCCACTCAGAACTGTGGCATACCAGGAATATCTGGGTGACTTCCCTGAAAGAGGATAGCAAGAGAAAATCAGATCAGACTCCACCTAACTCCAGCTGGATCAGGCATTTGGTGGCTCAACTATTGGACATTTGCTTTACAATGATAGCAAAAAGCCAAGATGCCCATGGCTGAGAAATGGAACTCTGTTGGCAGAGTGCTTGCCTGGCACACACAAGGCCCTGGGTTCAGTCCACAGCACTGCAGAAGACAGGCATCAAGCCTGGCCCTGAGGAGGTGGAGGTGGGGTGGGGGAGGATCAGGAGGCCAAAGGCATCCTCACCTCCTGGCCAACCTGGGCTACTTGAGACCCTGTCACAAAACAAAAGCAAAAACTTCTTAATAGCAGCGATCCAGACTGCTTCATCCCTCACCAGGAGAATGTTAATAGATTTAAGCAATTGGATCCTCCAATGGCTGATTACTGCAATATGCAAGTTTTGACCTTCATAATCTGTATGCTAGAATTTAATCCCCGGTGTGTTATGAAGTAAGGCCTTTGAAAGGTAATGAGGTCATGAAAGTCCCACTCTTTTGAATGGGATTAGTACTTTTATCATAAAAGAGGCCTAAGGGAGCTTTCTTGACACTGGGCCCTGGGAGGACACAAGGAGAAGGAGCCATCCATGAAGAAGAAAGAGTCTTGGGATGCTGCCATCCTGATATTGAACTTCTGGGCCTCCAGAACTGGAAACAATACATTTTTCATTGTTTATAAACTACCCAATCTAAGGTATTTTGCTATAACAGAATGAACTGAGGCGGTAGAAAATTGGAGGGAGAAAAAAAGAAAGAAATTTTAGAAAAGAAAAGAAATCTGTCAGGTAGTAAAGGACCTGAGGCTACCCGCTCCCCTCTGAGGAGTGAGCAGCAGAATAATTTTCCCAGAGTTGTTGAGCTAGGAAAAGCTGAGGCTTTCCTAGGTAGGCAGAGGAATCTCTGCCTGTGCCATCCTAGGTGACATAAGGAAACAGTGGGGGGGTGGGGAAGGGAGGGTTCAGCTATGGGTCTCCAAGCCTGATAACCCCAGGACCCCCATGGGAGGAAACAAAACAGACAATCTATAGCTGTCCTCTGCTCTTCTACTGCGGCACCCACACGCACTTGGAAAAGCACATACAGACACAATATAATAGAAATGTTAAAAAGAGGGCAGGAACTATACTCTAGCTCAAAGACGAATCGGCTCGTCCAGAGAGAACACTGACCACAGGGCTCTCAAGGATGAATCGGCTCGTCCAGAAAGCACTGACCACAGGGTTCTCAAAGACGAATCAGCTCATCCAGAGCACAGACCACTGCGCTCTCACATGAAAGAACCAGGCCAGGCAAAATTCCAAGGAGCTTCTTGGAGACAGAGCAACTTGCAGTAAACAATAAAGTTGATCAAAGACAGGATTACGACTGTTTAGTAACTGTAAATAATATGAACTACAGACATCTAAAGTCCTCAGACCCACCAAGCAAAAATGCTGCTTTAACATGGGAAGAGCAAAGCAAGGGACCAACCCAGTGTGGCTCCCTCTGCTATCATCCCTGGACCAAGGCCTGCTCCCTCCTTAGAGCCTCCTTCATGTCCCCGTCAACAGAGGGGAGTCTTTCTCTGAGGGCCCAGGGACCTTTCCTAACCTCCCTGGATCACCAGTCACACCCCTCCTAGGACCTCTGTGGCTGGCTGGACACTCTCACAGACACACAAATGAAAGGAAGGCAACTGGAAAGACAGGCAGCCACCTCTGGCCTCCACGTGCACATACACGAACACATATACCACACACAAATAACAGAATTGGCTTCAATGAAAGGAAATTGCATCCTGGCACAAAGCACCAAGACTGAGTTTCTCCTGAGCACTGGGAAATAATGGGAAACAGAATGTCTGTGATGTGTGCTAAGCCTGGGCAGCAAGTAGTGAGCCACTCTTGCCAACTCAGCAAGCCGAGGCAAATTCGCAGATAAGACGGAACTTGACTGACCTGTTTCAAAAGTGCAAGGCTTCTGCTGTCAGAGTCTCACAGCATTCAAAGCGGTGAGGCCTTTCCCATGGTTATCTGTCAGCCAACACCTAAAACACCCATCATTTTGTCAATAATTGCCGGAGACCAGTGGCGGATGATGGGGAGTTGTGGCACCCTGCCGATCTTAAGCCTTTCAGACATCACTGAGCCTGGAATGAACTCTTTCATCCTTTTAGTCCTGTTTGGAAACCATCTCTTCGTTCTGAAGACACTAGAAGAATCAGGCTGCAGGCTTCAGGATCGCCAACATTGCAGCTTGGGTTGCTATGTCTTTTTGGAGAGGTCTAGAGACAAGTTTGAACCGAACCACAGGGCTTTTGCTCTACTTTTAATTCTCTTGCTGTGGCAAAGCACTGATTTTTTTTAAGGCAACTTAGGGGTCAAAGGGCTTATTCTAGCTAAAATGTGCAGGCTATAGTCTTATCACTGCAGGGAAGTCACCGTGGCAGGAGTTTGAGAGAGCTGGTCACATGACACCCACAGTCAGCAGAAATGAATATAAGCCCACTCGGTCTCCGTGAACTCACTGTCCTCATTCTCATGCAATTTAGGAACCCCTGTCTAGGGAATGATGTCACCCACGGTGCCTTAATTTTCTTACATCAATTAATTTCAGATAATCTTGCACAAACATGCTCAAAGGCCAACCCAGTGTTGACAGTCCCTCATTAGGCCTCTCAAGTTGTGTCAAGTGCACAATTAAGTTAACCATCACGGTTTCTAAGATGAAATCCAAACACATCAGGAAGATGCAGCTTAATAGTGCCTCGTAGAAGACTTCATCATACAGAAGTTTCGATGTCTTTTAAGAACAAAAGGGCTAGAGATGTTTCTCGGTTGGCACAGTCTTTGCTTAGCGTACATAAAGCTCTGGGTTTGATCCTGAACACAACATAAACCAAATATAGTGGGTTCACACTGTAACCCCAGCTCTCGGAGGGAGAGGCAGGAAGATAAGTGCAAGGTGAGCCCTGAGGCAGAGGCAGGTGACTCTCTGAGGTTGAGGCCAGCCTGGTCTACAAAGTGAGTTCCAGGACAGCCAGGGCTGCACAGAGAAATCCTGCCTTGAAAAATAAAAGAAACAAAAAGGTTCAAAGTCATTCTTGGCTACACAGAGAGTTCCAGGGCAGCCTGGAATATACGCGATACCACCTCAAAAAAGGAAGGACTTGCTGGGGTTATTCTGGAATAGCCATTAAAAATCATGAGAATAAAACCATAAGCAGGAGGTTTCATATTAGGACTCAAATTCAAGGGCATCCAAAAATTAATAACAGGTAAAATCTGAACTTGGGTACCTCATTCATCTCCTGATGGGATTCCATTCTTACAGGTCCCTGCCCTAGAAGACAACCTCAGCTGGGCTACCCCACGCCTTAAAGGCTATAGCTGAAGACTTGACAACCCACTGTGTGGAATAGTTTTATGTCAATTTGACACAAGCTAGCACACTCTGGAAGGTGGATCTGCAGTTGAGAAAGTGCCCCTTTCTAGACTGACCTGTGGGCAAATCAGTGGTGGGGGAGAGCCCAGCTCACTGTGGGCAGTGCCATCCCTAGACTCATGCTCCTGGGAACTAGCAGACTGAGCAAGCCATGGAGAGCAGGCCAGTAAGCAGCGCTCCTTCTCCATGGCCTCTGGATCAGCTCCTGCCTCCAGGTTCCAGCCCTGTGTGAATGCCTGTCCTGACTTCCCATGATGATGGACATAAAACTAACCCTATCCTCCCTTGATTGCTTTTGGTAATGGTGCTTCATCACAACAACAACAAAAACCTGAAGATACCTAAGAAATATTGTCATATAAGGTGACCCAAAATAATCTGGTGAGTTGGATCCCAATGACAGGATACAAAAATATAATAACATAGTAATATCAATAAACCAACAATTAGTCACACTGTTAGCATGGATTTATTAACTTAGTCTTGCACACACACAGAATCCCAACTGTATTTAATAGAGTACTTAAAATTTTTCCACATTTATTAAATGCATTGAATGAAGCCTTCATCTGTGTCATCAAAGATAGTATCTTCTTTATAAATACCGTCACTTTTTTGAGTTGCCTCATCCAACTGAAGAATATTGTCTCATCGTATGCCGGTTAAAGGTAGAGGCTCCCAAGACAAGAGTCCTCATCAAGCTGAACACTTAAACCGAAGAAGATGGAGACAACTAGAAGGTGTCAGAAACAAGGGCTCTCTGACCTCCTCCTGCCCTGTCCCCTGTCACCTCTCTCTCCCCAGCAAGCTGTAACACTCAGAGAACTCATGGTCTCAGACTCCATTGTAGATCCCCACTCCAATAGGAGAGTACGCTGCACGGAGAGGTAAAGAAGATTCCAAGAAGACAGGCCGGGCTGGGTTTCCCACTGGGGGTCCTACGCGTTAGGCCACCCATACCCTGTGTCCAATCATACATTTCAAATGGCTGCCCACTCTTCCTAGAACTTGAGGATGAACACAGTTCTCACTGGGTCTTTGAGCCTGTATTTCTGAAGAAGTATCTTGTGCAAGAGAAAATATGTGTGTGTGTGTGTGTGTGTGTGTTCACATGTGTGCACACAAAGGACAGAGACAACCTTATATGCCATCCCTCGGGTGCTATTTACCCTTTTGTCAGACAGCATTTCTCCCAGCCTGGAGCTCACCTGTATTATACTGTTTATGATCAGCTTTGAAATACTTCATATGGAGGGACTGGAGAGACGGCTCAGCACTTACTGCTGTTGCAGAAGACCCGAGTTTGGATTCCGGGACCCACATGGGAAGGCTTACAACCAACCACCTGTAACTGTAGCTTCAGGGGATCTGGCACCCTCTTCTGGCTACACACACACACACACCAGTATTAGTAATATAATCTTTAAATAATTATCATAGAGATCCTGCTGTGAGGGTAATGTTCTAACCATAGCCCCATGACTGGCTCCTTTCATGGAGCCCACGAGTCCACAAGAGAGGAATAGGTGGCTGGAATGCAGATC